TTTTGGGCGTTTTTCATGGCTGTTTTTATACCCTGTACCCGTAGGGTAAAAAGGGTATATTAGGTTTGTGCAAAGTATGTAACATACAGAAGGAAGCATCTCCGACCCCATAAAGTATATATATTCTTGATCAGCATGACGAGAGAAATCGATCTAGACATGTCCGTCCGTCTGTCCGTCCGTCAGTCTGTCCGTCTGGATGAACGCAAGGATCTCAGAAACTATAAAAGCTAGAATAACCAAAGTTGGCATCCAGCTTCTCCTAGGTCCGAGTAAGGACGAGTTTATGTTTTTTTTTTTTAATTTTCCCCCCCTTCCCCCTCTACAGAATTTCGTCAATAGCGTCCACATTTCAAATGCTACCTAAACCAAACTTTGCACACATAATTAATATATAATTGTCTACTGTTGTATAAAATTTTATTCAATTCGGTCAATTCTAAGAAAAGTTATCAGCAAAACAAATTCTCCCCAGTACAACCCCCCCAAACTGCAGCAACAAGTTCGCTCTTCTTCTTCCTCTTTTTGCTGCTGCTATGGGCGCATATAACTCAGTGACGGAAGTTTACCTGGGTACAGGGTATTACACTGTCGGGCTTGCTCGACTGTAGCGTTCTCTCTTGTTTCTATTGTTTTTATGACCTGTAGTTCCTTTTGTTTTAAAAATAGGGCAGTAATTGCTTATGCTGTTCTCCTTACAGTTGATGCAGCATTTTAGGTTAACGCATGTTTCACCAAGGTCGGTGTGAGCAGCATTGCTGCAGTCCAGGCAGAGTTTTGTGCTTCTACCGAAGCGGCCGCAATTTTTACATCTGAGCGGTTGGGGAATGTATGGGCGGTTTGAGACTTTTTGGTAGCCGATGTTGATATTAGAAGGGAGTTGTAATAAACCGAATGTAAGGATAATGGTTTCTTTTAGGGAGTTGGTTTCTTTTTGTAGGATTTTTTTACATTCTATGACATTTTGAGCTTTAAGCTCAGTGAGAATTTTAGACTCGGGAATGTCACGCAAATCGTTGCAGTAAATAACACCTTTGGTTGAGCTCAGCGAGTGGTGTTCGGACACGTTGACATGAATAGAGTTAGTGAGAGCGGTTAATTGGATTAGTTTTGATGCCTGCGTTGAAGTTTTAGTTTTTAGTAAGATTGCGCCATTGCGCAGTTCACTAATTTCACCTGCACACACGTTTTCAAAAACTTTTTTTTACTAGAAAAGGCGAAACATCAGTAAGTGTGTTATTGTCGTCAGTTCTTTTCATGACCAGAAACTTTGGGCCAACTGTTTGCCTGGATAGCACATTTTTTTTTATCAATCTTGAATGCAAGGTGCAAAGGCCGGAATACTGAGATCGGGTGGTTCTGCCATGCTCTTCGTATATGCAAATCTATAAATAGATTTAGGAGGCGAGCTTGCAGCTACGCTGCTGTAACTGTTGTTGTTAGCCGAATTGAATTGCCACTGTTTCTCGTATAGAATTGTTTTTGGTAGTTAGTTTTGTTTAGAGCTTTTCGAAACGAACGAAGACTGATATGGTCAAGAGCGTAAGGTTTAGGCAGGTCTGGATTTAATGAATGCAGATTTGTGACTGTCGGATATTCGTATTATACTAAATAACACTAATATTTATGTTTTTTTGTGATTTAACTTATATATAATCAGGGGTGCCACAAAAATCTCTTTCCCCCAAATTTTGCCCGAAAACCAAATCTCGGTGCCACAGAACTGTCTTTTGTTACTTTTTAAATTTCGTATGTTGTGCCTAGAGATTTGAATAAAAAAACTAATAGACATTTTTCAAAATAAAAATAATCATTGGAATATAAACCTTATAGTTTTTGTGAGCATTCTGCATGAAAAATATTTTGCATATCCTATGTAATGAGGTTGCTTGAGCCAATTAGGGCCATGCCAGCACAAGGTACTGGTTCACAAGTCCTGCGGAGATGTACCACGGCTTGATAAATCTGCCGGATTGTGTTCGGATCGCACGTGTGACCACTTCTCTGCGGCGGAAGCAATCCTTGCAATCCGATTGGCGGCGTAGGTCGTCCAAGTGCAAGCTGAGCCAGGCCAGCAGAATCGTCGAATCCGTCCAAAAGAAAGTGTCGTAGCTGCTGTCGTAGCTCTCGGTACTCGGATGTGGTTAATCTGAGGATATTTCTGCAGAAACTCGTTCCATTTACGATGCAACTGAGGAGGCAACGGGTCATCCCACCCGATCTCGCCACAGCTCCTTCATGGGCATTTTCGAGCGCAAGATAAAAGGAGAGAGGACCTCGCACTTAATATAAGAGGATTAGAGTTCAAACCTTCAAGCTTTTAATTTATAAGGCTATAATGAAACCCATGTGGACGTATGGGATTCCGATCTGGGGTACTGCCTGCCGAAGCAACTGTAATATCATACAATCATTTCAAAACAAAGCGCTCAGAATCATCTTCAATTCAGAACGAGCTCGGAGTCCCATGGGTTCACGAGGAGATTGCCAGGGTGAGCAGAGCCCACATGGGGCGACTGGACAGGCACACCAATCCCCTCGACATTAAACTGCTTGACAGCAGCACCTCCATCCGCCGTCTAAGAAGATACCACCCGCTTGACCTACCCCATCGCACAAACTAAACTTCCTCACCCCTATCAACGCATCTCCCTACTAAGTCACACATAATACAAAATCCTAATTCCAATGTTCTTCCATTATAATTTCCTGATTTCCCATTAGGACAGATTGCAAATATAAAACATCTGTTACAAAAAAAAAAAAAACTTTGGGAACTATAAAGAACTAGAGAGAACGCTACAGTCGATCAAGCCCAAAAAAAGGAAAATTAAAAAAAAAATTATTAATTAAATTAATAAATTTAATTAAATATAAAATATCAGTGTATATTTACAATTTCAGAATAAATGTACATCAGAATCGTGTCTCTGCGTGTTTAAATGCGTGTATGTATGTATGCAGCACAAAGTTGAACCAAAGCAGCAACAGCAACAACAGCTGCGAGCAGAGCTGCAGGCTGCGCATGGGCAGCGATTTTACTTATGGCTATAACTTTCTTCAGAATTGACCTATCATGATGATACACGGATACATTAGTACTAACTGGATGTACCTACCAAAATTGATTTTGAAAATTCCGAGAATTACGGAAGTTATAAGAAAAAACACGAATTGCGGGGGAGTGGGCGGGTGTATCAGAAAAAATAAACAAACTCGATCTGCCTAGGGCTTATAGCAACCTTGATACCAATTTTGGTTATCCTAGCTCTTGTACTTACTGAGATCCTTGCGCTCATACAGACAGACGGACATGGCTATATCGACTCGTCTTGTCATCCTGATCAAAAATATATATACTTTGTGGGGTCTGCCACGCCTCTTTCTGCCTGTTACATACATTCGCACAAAACTAGTATACCCTTTCACCCTTTGGGTACAGGGTATAAAAACAAAAGCTCGTCCTTTTTCTGAGGAGAATCCAGATACCAAATTTGGTTATTCTAGCTCTTATACTTTCTGAGATCCTTTCGTTCATAGAGACGGACGGACAGACGGTCAAACGGACAGACGGATATATCTACTTGTACAGGGTGCGTTATCTTTTATGTCGGTATGCAAACATTGAATATCCTTGAAAATAAACAACCGATTTTCAAGTATGAGATATTTTTTTTTTAATTTGGTTCTGTACAATTTCTTGAACTGAGGTTTTCAACACTGGTCTACTCAAGTCAATCGGTTCACTAATGACAAAGTTATTCAATATCTACATACCGACATAAAAGATGGCGCACCCTTATTTTCTGAGATGCTTTCATACAGACAGGCGGACGAACGGACAAACGGACATGGCTATATCGATTCGTATATTAACATTTGGTAATTGGTACACAGAATCGTCGATTGGTCTCGATCATAGATATCCAAATTATATCAAGGTTCGTAAAATGCGAGCACGACTCATTCGGACCCGAGAGAAATTGTGCCGATAATCGCCGTGGGTCGCTGCCGACTGAAGTAGAGAGTCGTCTGAGCCGTCTGGCAGACCCAATGAGTCGTGTGAGCCGGTCGTAGTTCGCCGTTGCCGACAGCAGGAAAAGGTCGTACGAGTCGGCCTGCAGAAGCCGAACGCTCGTTCGTGCCAGGCAGTCATATGTACATATGTGTGTTGTGTGAAATTTGTGTGATGGTATGCTTGTGTGTATATATTTTTTAAGGCGGGTAGTGAGCACCCTGAATTAAATTCAATTTTCATAATCGAAAGCATTGAGTTTTTTCATTGATACATCGCAATGAATCGATGTACCATGCCGACCCATCGAGAAAAAATATCGAGGGCTAAGATTTTTTGAGAAATTTAGTTCAGAAGCAAAAGCATTATTCATTCGATATGTTGAATGCTAGAGGTGGAGAAAAAACTTGTCTAATACATTAAAACAGGATATTCAATCGAACTTTTCATTTACATGATTTTTATAAATAATACATGATTCTGGGATGCAAAAAAAAAATGCATCACCCCATTTTTCTTATTGCTACATACAATGTTAAACAAAATATGTACACACAAGAGGATCATGTTCCTATTCTTAAGTTTTTATCCGAAATATAGTTTTAATGTTATTGCCGAACCGAAAATTCGACTGTGCTCTTAATCTGGCGGTTATCTGGTAATCTATGCTATCTAAAAAGGCTTTGCACTAATTGGCTCTGCATTATTATTTTTTTTTTTTTTCGAAAATAGGCGAAGCGATATTCCCCGTTTTAAATTAATTATCTTGCACTTACTATATAAATAAAAGGTATAAAATACCGATAATATCCCTGGTGCGCACTATATATTTATATAAACGATAATGTTAACGGCATCCACCAAAATAGTAATTATAATTCAATGTTTATTAATACTTTAACTACGAAGCATCGATAAGCGGACTGTAAAGTATCGGGCTCATCAATTACTTTCGATACTTAAACCTCAAATTATACTAGTAACATTTATCAAAACATTAAACAAACTATAAGGGTTGGATACAATCATATAATGGAGGATGAATATTGTTTGTCGTCTGTTGTGGATTTAGAACAAAAACTTAATTCAGCTAAACAGTCTTTAGTTATACTAAATGAGAACATTCGACGGTTTGTCGGTCGCGACCTCAGGTGGGAAAATTTTTTTCAATCACAATTAGTGAAATGTATATATATACATACATACATATGTTAATGATTATATTTATATTTATGATTTACAGAGGCGAAAAGTACAAAATTGATGGTGAGGTTAGTGATAAGCAATCTCATCGTCATGAATTCATAAGGCCAAAGCGGCGAATGTACGATGATCCCAAATCTTTATTTAATCGTCTAACAACAGGGAACAATGAAGAGTGTCGGCCGCGTATTAACTCTAGAGTTATTCGGGAGCTGCCCTCGAAAAAAGAAGTTGTTGAAGCTCAAGGAACGGATTCCGAATCTAGGGCTCGTAATCGTCGCATGTTTGGATCACTTCTTGGAACATTACAAAAGTTTTGTCAGGAAGAGTCTAGATTAAAACAAAAAGAAGACAAAAAGGCTAAGATTGAGAAAAAATTGGAGAAGCAAGAACTGCAAGAAAGAGCATTGCTAAAAAAGCAGAGGGAGTCATTATTTCTTGACAGAAAACGAAAGCAATTTGAAATTAAACGACTTGAACTCAAGATGGCACGAGTAAAGGATTTTAATGTTTGGGAATCTTCAATGATGGCTTATCAAAAACATCAAATTCGAACTAAGACTAAGCCACATCTGTTTTTTCAACCAAAAACTCATTCATGTCTCACAGAACAACTTTTGTTAAAAAGCAAAACTGAAATTGAAGGTATTATATTAAAAAGGAGACAAGAATTACAAGCGGAACTTAAAGATTTGCATAGCTCCCATTATATTGATGAAGAATATGGTACGTACGAAAGTGGGGCTGACGAGTCACATGCGCACGTGGAGTCGGGCAACACTAATATAAATTGTGAGCTATCTTTAAATTGTAAGTTATGGCTTTTTACTAACGCGTTAATCCTTTTAAACAAGAAGTCTCGTGTGTTATAATCAATAGTCAAACTCTGCTTTTACAGGTGACAAGAACACAAAGGAAAACAAATTGAAGATCTCAAAAGAAAAATCCATAAGCAGAAGTATCATGATTGTTCAAGAAGCCTAATAACAAATGTATATATGCTAAATGTTTATAGTTTATCTGTTTTGTTTTGAAGTTTAGACTTCATAGCATGATAACTCATCTGTATTTCTATGAAATATCGATTGTTCTTAGTACCGAAACCGGAATTAGATATTTGACCGTAAATAAGACATTATTTTTATACAAATAAATGAAATGTATATTTCTGTAATCGTTGCCAACGGCGCATACATGTTCATACGCACATATAAACAAATATATATCAGCAGGTGGTATAGGCTCGCTGTCCAACAGACTTACATTTGTATGTACATACTTTATTGCGTTAATTTTCTCAGCACAAATCACATTTCGGATTTATAGCTAATATTATGATCTATCCGTTGTTATGATTGCAAATGGAGCAGGTATGACTTGGTTGACCTGTATTTCTCTCATTTTTATGGCGGCCGCCAAGACCTACCACATTTTTTTGTCACTAAAGATTAAGTCCTCAGATTCCTCCCAAAATTGGTATTTGTTGTAAAGCCCAATACGTGTATCTTTCTTCCGTTGTGTTAGATTTATACTTACAATAGCTTACTCGCTTCTTTACTAAATTGCACATAAAGGAAACAAGAAAAAATTCTTGACTTTAAAGCAGATTGACGACAAATCTATACTAATATTATAATGAGGAAAGATTTGTTTGTTTATTTGAAACGAAACTACACTGGACCGATATAAAGGATTTTTTCCGGTTAACATAAGCTATATTATATTTGCAAAAAATATTGAGATGCTTACTAAAAGACCAATAACGTAGCCCAAGGTGTAAAAAAAAATTACCTAAAAAATGCTTGAACATGATGCTGTTAGCTCAGAATCATTCTCAAAACATTATGTCACTTTGAATATTAAGGGACTATTATTCAAAAGTCCCCAGCCAAGTAAAAAATTACAAAGCGATCGACACCGTGAATAATATCGAAGACACAGCCCATTACCCACAGGAATTTGTAGATTCACTAAACCCTTCTGGACAGCTGCCACATTAATTAAAGCTGGAAATCGGAATTCCAATCATGCTTTTGAGAAATTTAAGCCCTCCGAACATGTACAATGGGACGAGGCTGCTTATTAACGAATTGTACAACAATTTAAGCGTAGCAACCATTATCAACGGCCCAGCAGCTGGACAACTACCTCATACACCGAGGATACCCATAATCCCATTTGTTAAGCGATCAATTTCATCATATCATTTAATTTCCAGTAAAAACAGTTTTCGCGTTAACTAAGTATTAACAAGTCCCAAGTCCAACCTTTTAATTAGTAGGGATCGACCTATGAAAGAATGTTTTACTCATGGCCAACTGTATGTTGACCTATCACGGGTTGGAGCACCTGTAAATCAATTTATTTTTCTAACAGAGAAGCTCTGACTAAATAATAACAAAATAAGAGAAAATGCTACTCACTCCCACAACAAAAATAAATTTTTTATTAAATTAAACAAAAAATATATTAAATGGAGACATGTTTACTTGTATGTTTCAACAACATCATCGTGTTTATATGCCTGTATGTATGCTGTGCAGGATTAAGTCGAAGCAGCAACAACAACAACAGCAGTGGGCAGAGCTTCGGCAGAGTATATTTATGGCTATAACTTTCTTCATAATTAACCTATCGTAATGACTCGGACATTCGGACTCAATCACTAATTGGAGGTATTTGCCAAATTTGAGACCAAAATTCTGAGAATTACGGGAGTTATCACCCGATTTGCGGGGAGAGGGAGGGAAATTCCAAAATACACATTTTCTGCATATTCTCATAAGGCATCTTGGAATAAAATTTGGTATCCCTAGGTTACAAATAAGCAAGTTTAAGCTGCGTAAATTTGCTGTCTGCTTTATGTTATTTTCGAAAGTTTGTGATAACAAGCACAGGCGAGTGAGTGTGTATGTAAGGTCGGCGCAGCAGCTTGGTCACGCTATCGGAATTTTTAACCAAGTCAAGACCTACTATAACAAAAACAAGTAAAAAAACAAGTCCCGGCTTTGAAATACTCTGTACATATGTTAAGAATAATTATAGAAATTACAAAAATTAAGAGAATTAAAAAAAAAAAAATTGATCGATTTTACCTCTCTCGGTATTCGAAAGGGTGTATAATTGCACATTTACATAGCAATTATGTATTGTGTATTCATGTCTATGCGTGTCTGTGTGAGCATGATTGCACCGACATCAACAACAGCTGCAATAAAAAAAAACAAAACATTCTTGCACAGCGTACACACATAAGGCATCTTTGTGCAACATTTGGTGTCTCTCCGCTCCTATAGTCTCTGAGATCCAGGTGTTCATACGGACGGACGGACAGACAGACATACATAGATCGGACTCGTCTTGTCATGCTGATCAAGAATATATATACTTTGTGGGGTCTGCCACGCCTCCTTCTGGCTGTTACATTTTTCAGGTCGCGCAAACCTAATATACTGTTGTACATTTAATGTACAGAGTATAGCAAGAAAGGAATGCTAGATTCCAGCGGGCTCAACTCTTAAATACTTGTACACTTTCCAAAAAATATTTTCTTATTTTAAATGAATTAATTAATTAAATTATTTTTAAACAAATTATTCAATATATATATACATAAGTGGACGCATATGTGTGAAATACAGAGTTAAGTCATCAAACAGCAACAACTACAGCTGCGGGCGGAGATTACATTTATTGCTGTAACTTTCTTTCTAGTTGATCTATCATAATAAAACTTTATACAAGGTGCGTTCTAAAGTAAACAGGACTTTTTGAATCTAGCGCCCCCTGGTGGCGCTATCTATATGTCGACTGGTGCGTTAGAATCTGCTATCTTTATCAAGTGTCCAGTGGAAGTGAAGTTATTGCGTTTTAAGTGTCAGTATGTTTGTGTTATCGGTGCGAAAATGAAACTTTTACCGAAACGTTTCAATTGATGGAACAAGTTTATGGCGATGATTGCCTATCCCGTAGCAGAGTGCACGAGTGGTTTCAACGTTTTCAAAGTGGTCGTAAGGACATAAATGACGATCAACATGTGGGCCAATTAAAATTCGTGATCACCGAATATTCCATCGAAACTGTGCGTGAATTCATCAAAAATCAGCCAAAATCATCATTGAAATTGATGGAAGTGGAATTGAACATCTCCAAAATATCGATTTATCGTATTTTGACCGAACATTTGGGCTTACGAAAGGTGTGTGCACGGTTTGTTCCGCACAAATTGACTGACGACCAAAAATTGCTCAGAATCCGTCTCATCGATCGACGCTTGGGACCGATTATTTGACCAAAAATCACATTTTAACCATTAACCGCTTGCCGTATCAGGTGAATAACCTGATATGGCACCGTGCGACTTCTACCTTTTTAGAAAAATGCATTTGCCCATGAAAGGAAAGCGTTGTGCAGACTGTACGGCTTTAAGCCGGTAACTTGCCGGTATGGCAAAAGCAAAAGATTCAACAATTTTATAAAAGAAAGACGGTGTCTTTCTATGCACGATTTATTGGGCAAAGAAAAATTATCACACGTTCGCACAGCTAGACTTCAAATTAACAAGTGATACTTTAATTGTAGCGAAGCTACATACAAATCAAAGGCCGCCGCTGTAAGCACAACATAAAAGCGGCAATTGCAATTATGCTGCTCGCAGGCAGCTGCAGTGTACGACAATTTTCTCCTAACTAATGCATTGCTTTCAATTATAATTCTCTTAAATAAACTTAAATCTAAGTGAAATGCCTTTACATCGGCCACGTTGAAGGCACGACAATTTTCTCCTAACTAATGCATTGCTTTCAATTATAATTCTCTTAAATAAACTTAAATCTAAGTGAAATGCCTTTACATCGGCCACGTTGAAGGCACGCAGTGCTTCAAAAAATACTTGTAGGCAATAGCGCAAGACGGTGTATCGCCCGATTAAACAGCCCCGCCTTCGTTCTGACGGTCGCCACGCGCACTTTGCCATCGGCGCCTTTTGTCGTCTCCTCGACGACTCCCAGCATCCACTGCTGAGGAGGAGCGTTGTCCTTGTGGACGACTACGACGGCTCCTTTCTCCAGATTTGGACGCTCCACTGACCACTTCTGGCGCTGCTGCAGGCTCAGGAGATACTCTTTGGACCAATCGGCCCAAAACCGCTGCTTGATGCCTGAGATCAGCTTCCAGCGTTTTAAGTACGTCAGTTTGACGTCTGTTACGGGCTGCGTTAACACTGTAGGCAGTGTTACCAGCGTTCCTCCGACGAGTACATTCACTTGAGTGACGGCCTCTCCGTCGTTTGGGCTGGTGGTGTCTGCCACGATCGCTTGCGAGTTCAGGATCGCCTCCACTTCCACCAGCACGGTTACCATCTCGTCCTGCCGCAGCGTTGCGCTTCCGATGGCCTTTAGCAGCAACGTCTTGGCGGACTTTACGGCCGCCTCCCATAGGCCGCCGAAATGCGGCGCGCGGGGCGGGATGAATTGGAACGTTATTCCCTTTGTGGCAGCAAATGTGGAAATAGCATCGTTGTTGGTGCTGAAGCTGTTACGGAGCTCCTCCAAAATGCGTGCACATAGACAACATAGACACCACATTATAAACGAGTTAGCAGTCAGGTCTGTCACAACATCAATGTGCACAGCTTTGGAGGCAAAACATACAAAAACCGCGACATATATCTTAACCAGGGCTCTGCCACGAATTCCCATCGAGACAGGTATTGGACCACAAAAGTCCACTCCGCTCACCTCAAATGGCCTATAGCCATGTAATCGGTCAGCAGGCAAATTTCCCATTATTTGGCTTGCTAGGATTGGTTTATACCTAAAGCAATGCACACACTGTCGCCCCACTGCGCTACAAGCTTGTCGCGCATTGACAGGCCAAACTTGTTGGCGAAGAATGCTACGAGCGCACGTGGACCAGCGTGGCAATTAGTGCGATGTAAATACTGCAAGTATAACATCACGAATCGGCATCCCTTTGGCATAAGCAATGGAAATTTAGCATTATGAGGCAATGGTGCCTTAAGCAAGCGACCGCCAACTCGTACCAAATTCAATTGACGATTTCCCGTTCGAAATGAACAAATAAATGGATTTAATTTTTGGTACGAAGGCTGCAGGATCGATCACTTGTTTAGCTTTGAGATCTCGTCTGCAAAAGCTATGTGTTGTACTATGT